ATCATACTAAGCAAATAATTTACTATTCAAATAAATTATCTTGAATTATATCGCATTTTTTTGTGGGGGTGGGGGGGGGGGGGGGGGGGTGGACCGTCTTATCTCGTCTTTGCTGTCTAAGGGCAACATATTGCGAGTATATTTCTATTTCTACACCTTGGATTATATTTGAAATAGAATAGAATAGAATTCATTATACCAAATCAGGGCCCACTGGACGTAAACATATAACATATATACATGTACATGTAGTTAAAAAAGTCGATATCAAGTTCCGAAAAAGGTTTTGGGATCAACCGGACGAAACTTGAAGAATTTGTGATTTTGTCAGATGGGTTGATATCGGCTTGTGGTCACATTTGTTTACGTTGTATCAGGGTATTAAGCTAAAATTTTCAACATATCCTTAACTTTTGTTATTTGATGTTCCTTAAAAATTTTGTATGCAGTGTTGCATTGACTCAGTATATAGTGTTGATTTTATCGCATCAGTCCAGGAACCTCTTGCACAGCCTTCGTATGTACTAACAAGTAGTTCAAATATAAAACTTCTTTTTTTACTCCAGTCAGACAAATCAGACGAGTCCAGGTTTTATTTTCCAGCAGGCCTTTTCAGACGAGCGGTCAGTTGTGGTCAGTGACATGAAAAAGTGACATAAAGCCAGAGGGCATCCGAAGGAGAAACAGTGTTGGATTCCAAGGAAAAATGACTCATATATAGTAAATAAAATTCCACGGACTGTGTGATGCAAATCATCGCTGCCAGTAGCTCTGTAAACCGTCATTCAGTTTAGTCGAATCAGATAATTAATATACGTAGTATATTGAGAAGTAATTAATTAACCACGCTAGCAATGTATAAGAATATCTGATACTTTTCATAAATATTCGTTATAGATGAACGCAACATTTTGATGATTTCCAACACCTAAAAAATATCATCTCATTCAACTTACATATGAAATGGAAGAAGACCTGAACTGTGTTTAATATATTTGCACCATATTTAAACATAAAACGGACAGACTTTGTCTTGTCTGTAAGGTTAACTTAAAAAGACTTTCAAATTGTCTAAATTTTTTTTGGCAAAAATGGAAAGCATGTTTGATATTTAACTCTTCGATCTGAATCAAAGTTCAAAGTCCGCCCAAAATGCAATGTGCAGTGGCGGATCCAGGAAACTTGGAAATGGGGTGCAACCAGTTTGGGTTCGGAGTAGAGGCCTACAGCCGCACAAAAAAAAGAAAAATTTATCATTAAAATCTTTTGTATATTTTGGACAAAAGAGGAGGGGATCCGCCGCCTCTAAATCCGCCAGTGAATTCCATCACATTGATTCTTGGGGTGAAATACCTCTACTGGTCAGTGACGTGACCTCTATGTACTCAATACTGACCTTCGGATTTGGGGGGGGGGGGGGGCTCTAGCGGTCACTGACGGACAGTTTCTGTAATTAAATGGACTTGGTCAAGGCCAATAACATATAGACCTACGAGGGAGAGTATCTCTTCTGACAAATCAGGGACTCTCTCAGAAGCGGGCAAGTTTCCATGTTGTCAAGACAAATATATGTGTTTTGAAGTGATCCCGACAGTCTGTTTCGTAGCCCGCCTCCTTCCAGAATAAAATTAATAAATAAATTCATATAAGCTTTTAAGATCATATATGAGATATAAAAAAGTATCATATTTTGAGTTTCTTAACTTTTGAACTCATATCAGGAGCAATACAAGCGCATTGACAGTTTCATATTTTTTAAAATTAATTTGAATTTATTATTAATAATTAATTTAATAAAACTATTACCCTCTACATGTGCATGTATTTTTGATCTTTATAGCAATATGATCCTCAACTTTGATGTCAAAGTTTTCTGGTGCAGAATTGTCATTAACTATTTCAAGATCAGAGTAAAAGAATATTTATCAACTTCTGTTGTTCATATTTGTAATAGAAAAACTTTTAACAAGCTCTTAATGATTCAAAATTACATTACATTATTGTCGTCCTGTACAATATTGTTTCCTTAAATAACACTATATATTTAATTGTAATCATAAAGGTTTAAATTAGTCACAAATTTATTATAATGGCAAATTTTAAATAGGAAAATATAATTCTCAAAAATGCAGTTCATATTGCAATACAACGGTTTTTATGCCCCCGTAAACGAAGCTTCGGGGGTAGTTTTTGTCGTGTCCGTCCGTCCGTCTGTCTAGCTGTCTGTCTGTCTGTTTGTCCACAAAAACTTTAACCTTGACTATAACTTTTGACTGGATGGAGCTATGGTTTTCATATTTCACAGGTGTATTCCTTGTGACGATACTTTCTTTGGGTACCACCACATTTGACCTCTTGACCTTGGAGTTTGACCTACTTTTACACAAAAATTCCAAACTTTTACTTTGGCCATACATGTAACTTCTGAACGGTTGGAGCTAGGACTTTCATACTTTACATTTGTATTTTTTGTGACAAGACATTCCATTGGATACAAACAATTTTGACCTTTTGACCTTGACCTTGGAGATTGACCTACATTTGAAAAAAAAACTTTAACCTTGGTCATAAGTTTTGAACGGTAAGGGCTAGGACTTTCATACTTCACATGATTATGTATTCTTTGTGACAAGACCTTCCATTAGATACTGTACCAACAACTTTGACCTTTTGGCCTTGACCTTGGAGTTTGATCTACTCAATAAAAACTTTAACCTGGGCAATAACTTTTGAACGGTAAGGACAAAGGCTTTCATATATATACTTCCCATATATAATCTTTGAGACAAGACCTTTCTTTAGCAACCAATAACCTTGACCCGGAGTTTGACCTTTCTTTAAAAACTCTTTAACATGGGCCATAAATTTTGAAGAGGTGGTGCTAGGGTTTTATATTTCACATACATTTGTATTTCTTGTGAGAAGCCTTACTTTGTGTATCAACATATTTGATTGCATTTGAGAAAATTTAATGCAGTATCGGCATGTTGCAATACGGGGGCATCAGTGTTTCACAACACATCTTGTTTTACTTGTTAATTTAATTTTATTTAATTAATTTTGCACATACATGAAGATTCTTTTTAAACAAGGCGGTTTCCTCTTTAATCAAGTTGTTGTAACAAAAACTATACATTTTAAATATGAGCTCTCCTTGAAACTTCGGATACACTTCAAACTGTCAGCAATTTTTTTTGCATCAAAACACTTTTTACCATTGACTCTTTTGACATCCTCCTAAGGCGAAAAATATCGGGTATAAAATATATTTTGGAATTTATTTTACATTAAATCTCTTAATAGATATATAAACAAACGATAGACCTAAAATAAAATTTATTCCGTCAAAGTTTAATGCTCGTTTTATGATTGAAAAACCATATGGAGGCAAATTATGGGTTATTCATTATTAGAGAAAACGACATAAACCATCCTTTGATCCCAGAATGATGATCGTACAGACAATTTTTGTCTCGACTTTTAAATGGTGTCACTTCAATATAGGTCAAATTGACGGTAAAATCTGGGTCAGGATCTTGCATGCAGCTGCATGGGTTCACACAAATCGCTTTGATGCTATCGCGCATTAGTTATGCTGTATTAAATGGTTTAGTATATATTTATATCACGTATGCATATTTTTCCCCCGCTGAATTAAGCACAGAAAGGGAAATATCTCTATTTTTTCTTGGCTCTATTTTTTAATTGTCCAATTGCTAAGTAGCTAAATAATTTAAAGAATTCAAAATTGTTTTCATTCAGTACTTTTATGTTTAATTCATTAAAATTTTAAATATATAAGATAAGATAATAAGAACTTTTTTTCTTTAAAAATTAGACTTAACTGCTCTTTTTAATCTAAGATTGTCTTTTTCTATTTTCTAGACATACATGTACGTACATATTTGTTTTTATTCAACAAAAGTTTTGCACAATCAATTTCTGTTTTTTTTTAATAAGATAGCATATATGAGAATATGTAAATGTACATGAATACATTTTAAGTTCATACACAGAGCAGATTAGGGTTTATCTCTATATTTTTTTAAACAAACGCAATATAAACCAAATATCTATTATTCAAATATGTACCAATATTTGAACGCATTGAGGATTTATTCCTTTGTGTGCTTGTTGAAAGGGGAGCAGGTGTTAAAATTTCATTCACACCCCATTTGATCTTGATGATTTTTTTCTTTCAAACAGGAAGAAATTTTCTTATGGGGGTTTAATCCTCAGCTTCTGAGTAGAATTTTATGAGTTTTGTTCTTTTTAAAAAAAATAAAATTCCGCATCCTTTTCCAGTTCCTGCAGCGAGTTTGAATTTTACGATGCCATTTACACATTGCCGTGCAATAAAAGCTTGAAATGAGAAATTGTATTTTTCGGCGAAAGATTTTTTTTAATGAAGAAAATGATCTGATCAATTTTTCGCTTTCAAAGACAATGCCACTGTGGACCTCCTATTTGATCTGACACTTAGTTCGGGTCTCCAAGATCCAAACGTGGATTTTGACATTTTTATCATATCGGAAAGGGGGGGGGTATCATTTAGTGAGATCAGTCCTCACATTATCTCTACTTTATACTTGACATGGCTGTGCCTATCATTCTTTCAAAACTTTACTCTTAATACGGTTTTTTTGCCAATTTAAATACATCACTGAATGCAAGTTGTCAGGACTTTGTTCTAGCTTCATATGTTTTCTTTATTTTGATGAATGCATGATTTTGATTTGTTATCTACAACTAGAAATATCTGTAAATATAGAATTATTGGAATTTTAATTCCTTAATTGATGTGCATGGATAAATATGGACAGCTCTTCATTTCTTGATATTCCAGAATAATAATGCTTATCTTATTAACTCATTTGCAAGAAAAAAGTATTTATAACTTGATACTGATTTAAATGGTTTTCTCGTAGACTTTCAGTTAATCAAAGAAGAGTGGTCTAAGTGCAACATCTGGAAAAGTGGAGAATAAAATTTCGACTAAAACATATTTTTGATATTTTAATTCAAACATTATTTCATTTATTCTTCTTCGTAATAACATGCATACATCACAAAGGTGATAAAATGATTATCGACAATTCTTAAATCTGAAATACATACAGTGTATTTTGGAAATGTCATTCTAAAAACCCATCATTTTTTGGTAAAAAGACAAAAAAAAAAAACCCCATAAATTCAGACAAATTACATGTGTATGCTAAACATTACTGTAAAGCTTTCAGCTCATCATGTGAAATAACAGACAATTTAATACAAATTTTTAAAGATTAGTACAATATTAAACAATTCAGCTGCTCGAATTGAGGACATACATGTAAGTTTCAGTTCATTTATCTAACCATACTAAAAAAAATACACAGTCATGTAATCTCTTTATTGGATTATTATGAACCAGGTAAAAGATTAGTTCAATTACCTTCCATAACAGTACATAGATTACTTAAACTTCTTAAAGCCTTTGATCACCTGTCCAGAACTGTGCAGTTGCTAAAGGAATATGACATAATGTACTGATGGACTGGTGGTGCCATTTTAAAAGGCAGAATGAATATAAAGTTTACAAAGTCCAAGGAATCTTGTCATCAAAAATCTTACAGTGGGTATCAATTATGCTTCCCGAAAAATTTGTAAATACAGCCATTTAATTAAAACAACATAATTTAAAAGAATATAGTCAGTGCATAAAGTAATAGCGAACTTATTTTAAGTTTTGAATTGTGCAGACTCTAAAAACTATACATATGGCAGGAGATACTCACTCCTCCATGGCACCTGATCCCACCTCTGATGTTTTAGAGGTCTGTGTTTGCTATGCTCCTAATTTGTAATGTTTAATAGACTGAGCTTGAAAACTGTTCGTTTACTCCATATATTTCATGTATTCAATTCTTCGAAACAAAATGCGACGCCACACCACATGTGTCAGCCATTTCATTCAAGTACCTTAACTTCTGATATAAAATAGGTAAACGTAACAATCTAAATGGAAATATTATAATAATTATATACATTTGTAAATTTGTTTTGCCTAGTTTACATCTTATTAAAAGTAATGCTATGTGAAGCTAAGTAGAAATTTCTTAATGATTGACAGGAAAACTAAATTCATACTACAAGTTTCACACTAACATAATGCCAGTAAAGTTAGAGGCAATTGCAGCATTTTTCACAATTGCTTCGTAAGGTTGAAATGATAATTATATACATACACATTCACCCATCATTCTTAACTTGCATCACGATTTTTACGAAACGCAGACAATAATAAATAAATATCGTGTCATTTTTTCTCAATTTTTGCAATGCCAGTTCATCTTTCTTCATTACGTCACTTCCTTCTCTGTTCATCACGTGACTTCCATCTCTCTTTATCACGTGACTCCCAAGAGCAAGTGATTTTTCACGGTGATATAAATATCCATGCCACGATATATACGTTGTGAACACAATTCTGGTAGTAAGCTTAAATCTCTCAAAAGTAATCTGACGATTTCATGATTTTTTAAATGTATGACGGTATCTAGTACTTATAACGAGAAATGGTTGAATTCTATTATTCTCATTGTTGGTTTTCTTGTTACGCATGCGTCTCCGACGTCTTCGCCGTTTTTTCCCTCTCCGGGTCTTTCCGTTTTTCATTGTCAGGTTTTTATTTTCCCGTCGAAATAATACTGGGCGCACCATTCTACCACAGAATTTACAAGATATCCTGAGATTCAGTGCCTTGTCCTTGGAATCTAACATTGACTGTATAAGTGTCACCGGTAGGCTAATTTTCTGCCATCTTGATTTTTTCACCCTAGTTCTTAAAGCCGTAAGGTAATGAAATTTCTCTTCCTTCTGATTGGGTACCTTCATAACTCGTAGTATGACCTTTCTGCCCTTTGACCTGCCTCGTTTCCGTTTTCTCATAAGAATCCATAAATGTGCACTCACTGCTTCTATTTGTCTCGGTTTGGTACTGACGTCAATGGTGAACGACAGAACATTTCGCTCTGAGATGTTCTCTGAAAAAAACAATGATTTGGGTATTAGATGAGCTTTCAATTTATCCCTTACTTTGGTATCTGATTTACAAGACTAATGAATGCCAGATTTGTAGCATTTACGTCAATATATTTCTCTTATTCGATTTTCTTTAGAATGTGACAAGAAATTTGAAATTAATTTTTTATCTCATCAAAATTTCAAAAAGGGCTATGTGAGTGTACTCAAAATTTGCAAAGTTATAAATAACATCATTATCTTTAACTAGCAGATCTAGATGTATAATATAATTGCTCTTGACTGACTTGACTTTAGAAATGATCAACAGATACATTATATCAAATGGATCAGTTAATTCCGATTTTATGTTGAATAATTAAGAAAAGTCTTCACTGAATCCTATTATTTGAACTACTTTGCCTTAAAAAGTTCTGAAATTAATTTTTCTTGATAATTGCTTGTTTTAAGAACTTTTGTTTGTGAAACACTGATGCCCCCGTACAACAGTGTATGACAAGGGTTAAAATTTCATTAATGCAAGTAGAACTCCCAGGTCAAGGTCAAAATTGTTGATATCCAAAGGAAATCATTCAATGTCTTGTCACAAGAAATACACCTGTGAAATATAAAACCCTTAGTACTTACGTTTTAAAAGTCATGGCCAAGCTTACTAGTTTTTTAAAATAGGCCAAACTCTGAGGTCAAGGTCAAAAGGTCAAATATTTTTAAATCTTATGAAAAGTCTTGTCATTGGGAATACAGTTGTGAAGTATAAAAGCCCTAGCGCCAATTCTTCAAAAGTCATGCCCCTGGTTAAAGTTCGGGAATATTTGGTAATGGTCAAGGTCAGATGGTCGTTTTTGGTAGTACAAAATGAAAATTCTTGTCAAAAGGCATAAACCTATGAGATTTGAAAGCCATAGCCTCATCCACTCTAGGGTATAATGGAAAAGGTATAAATTTTGCGGAAAATCACACAAACAGATACACAGAAAGACGGACAGCGCAAAAACCTTAAGCCGCAAATCTTCGATTACGGGTGTATATCAACTTCTAAAAATAACCTGAAACACATTCGATTAATTACTCTTAATTAATCAATAATAAATTGAACTTTAGTTAATCTTATTTTCACGTTTCTATATGTTACATAAATAAATATACAGTGTATGTGTATACATGATCAACTGTCAGGAACAATGTTTAAAGAAAGTCGGTCAACGAGCCTTTATTTAGGTCAAACAAATTAAGTCGACTTCAAAGAGACGAATTATGTGATTGAAGATTAAAATAACCTTGAATGGTACTTCAACACACGTGTTTACTTATATTAATATGCCTAATCGGATATTGTGGTGAACCAATGGGGTGAAAGAACCTCTTGGTTAAAGTCAGGTAGGGTTATTATTTTCCTTAAGGGGAAAGCAATATTTCTTAAAAACCTAAGAGGGAATTTTAATTTTAGATGTTCTGACAACTCAGAGAATTCTTCCTTTCCGAATTGATAAGGGTAAATCGAATAATATCCCCCCATTGAATGATGAAAATACTGATGCTGCAATGTTTTCGGTTCACCATAGATGATAAATTTCATACTTTGCTTCCGGTTCACCATAGATTTGATTATAACAAGTGAATATGTAAAAAAAAAATTGAATAAAAACTTTACAAATAAGGAGTAAGTATGAATTTTTCTAAGCGCAGTTTAATGTTTGAATAATTTTAAAGAACTTAATTCAGAATGCCTTTTCTACTATGCAACCCTTTTATTCTTTCGTTAAAAGAAATAATTTTAAACAAAAATGACTTCAATTAAATAGGCTTCGTCGAAGTTCTCAATTTATGTCAAACAAAAACTATAAAAGTACACATGTAATCCCTCCAAAAATAGGTTAAACTGTAGAATTTAAAGCTAATTTGCGCAATTATTGTCATACTTAAATAGCCATCTTTTGTATTTGTATTTATTGATGTCCCAGGACAAAACGTAGGCCTGGCACCGATTGTTAGATTGTAGAAATTTGCATCCATTCACTGATTAAGTGCTTTTTAAAATTCAATATAAAAGATTATGAATGGACACCGCCATCGAAGTTTTACAGGATTGAAATAGAATAAATTTCGATGGTCTCTTTTTACATTTCAAATTTGAGATATGATTGAACCATGGTACTCTTTTTGTTTCCTATGTACATAAATTTCATCACGTCATTTTTTATCCGTCACTTCTATGTTATGTAATTCATCCTTATTCTGAAAGCTTATTCAAGAGCAGATTAAAAGATTACATTTGAATGGGTTGAGCAATATAAGTTAAAAACCATAAAAAATGATTTTTTAAATTCTTTAATTAGACATGTCTTTCGTTAAATGTACTACGTTTAACAGGTCATACTCTTTGCATGCATTTATAAAGAGCCTTTTTACATTAAATATCCTATATTATCGAATCGGTTAGACCGACCTCGATTTTGAATCAATGAATAAGGTGTACCTGAGCGTGGCTCAATAAGTTGCAATGAAGTAAAAACAAACCTGGTTTTTCGGAGAAACTGACAATTTCCGCCATTTCCTGCAGGAAACTCTCAGGTTCCGGTTTTGGCGGAACATCCTGATCCTTCGTTTTCTTCACTGTTCCTCTATTTGAACCCTTCACCGAGTTATCTTGAATGTTTAACTCGTTCATGATATGTTTCTTTAGCATGTCAATGCGAACTTTCTCCGCAAAGGTTAGCTCAAACACCCGTTTACATGGTGATGATAAACTGCAATTTCGTTTCAAGGGACTGGAGTTTTGGGGAAATCTAAAGGCGCGAGTAACACACACAGTGGTCGTATATAATAAAAATATCCATATTCCTGTCACTGAGACTTTTCCCTTAAAATCCATTTCGCCTTCTTTAGAATAGTACCGGCTGCCTGCAAATGACAAAACATAATTTGAAGGGAAAAAAAAGAAAAAGGTTTTTTTTACAACAAAAAGAACGAGGAATTTTTCACAATGTGATTAAGTTGTGAATTTCACATATTATATCAAACGACTAACATAGTGTATAAAAATGTAAATATTTTTTCTTTCAAAATTTACCGGTTGATATTCTGCTGATCAGAAAATCCTCTTAACTAATAGTCTACATTATCCTGGGAACTACCTCAGAATGCTTATGAAATCAATAAACATGTGTCCAATATATGCAAATGTAATATCTGACGTTTTGGAGTAGTCGGGTTACAAATGATTCCCCTAATAGTCATTCTGAGATCTGATATACAGTTTATATGATTCTGCCGTACTGTGAGCAACAAGACTTTGTGTTAACTGCTGCCACTTTCATTGTCAATGATCCATCAAGGGGTCTACGTAGAGGTGATGCATCTTGAACTACTTTATGAACTAAATTAAGAGTTCGTATATCACTTTATGAATTAACTTATTACTCAAGACTTCTCATAATAGTTTCCAAACTACATTTAAGGTAGGATTTCATGAACTAGACTTACAGAGTTTGTTTATCACTTTTTGAACTTAACACTTAAGACTTATTTAGCACTTTACAAAGTAGACTTAGAGTTCTTGAACACTTTTTGAACTAGAGTTAAAGAGTTCGTGTATCACTTTATGTACTACACTGTAGACTTAAAAGAGTTTTTATAGCACTTTATGAATTTGTGCGTCACATTAGTACAATTCTCAGTCAACCTTGGACTTTCAGGAGGGCGTGACTTTCTCGACACTACGTAATAAGCGTCTCTCAAATGGCGAATAGATTCTCATTGGTTAAGAAATTAATAACATCAACAACTTTAAATTGATGTAGACAAAGATGAGATGACTTAAGCCCCACCTCTTTGCCGTACGAAAGACTTATCATTGGGTCATTTCTACACTCGCTGACATTCGTCGGAATGTTTATTTCAAATGTGAATGAAATGCTATGTAAATTTCAAACGCTAGTTTGGTAACGTCGAGAGTATACCACGCCTCACTGAAAGTCCAAGGTTGACTGAGAATTGTACTATGAGCTGGACTGAGAGACCCTGTTTCACTTTATGAACTAGCTAGACTTAAAAGTTAGTGAAACACTTTATGAAGTACACTTAGAGTTAGTGAAACACTTTATGGATACACTTTAGAGTTCCTAGCTATAGCACATTATAAACTAGACTTAAAGTTCGTGCATCAAGTCTTTAAGAGTTCGTTTTTCACTTCATGATCTAGACTAATGGGTAAGTGTAACTTTTTGTGAACTAAACGTTGAGTTCGTGTATTTCTTTATGAACTAGACGAAAAGTTCGTGTATCACTTTATGAAGGTCATTTATCTCTTTTATAAAAATAGTAAGCGGATGATGCGCTTTCCTGTTATGTGAAAGAGGAGCTTAGAATATACGATAATATCTAGTAAGTTAATCCTAGGAAATAATGATCTTTTGGATTAATTTTACTTTTCTCAAATAACCATTTGTTCGTTTCTAGACGCCCCTTTCGCTTTTCACGTATATACATGTACATGTGTATACAGTTGTACATATTGAAACGCCGTCAAATGCCGGTAAAGGCTGAAAATTTAATTTGTACTCTGTAAATGATCTTTTTCGTGTAGGAACTTGCCAGCGACATATAATCTCGCTTTATACGCTATCACCCGAAGGACTAGTCTCCACTCTCACAGTGGGATTCGAACCCGCGACGTAAGAACCTCCTTACCCTTACCACTGCGCTATGCGGGCAACTTATAACTATAAAGATTACAAAAAAATCACAACTTGCCGAGTAAGTCACAGACGTGATAATTAATCTGAAATGTAACAGAGCAACATTAATATCGTTGATCGAATTTCATGGAAAACAGTATGACACATTTAGTCTGACCGTGGTTGTACATTGTGTATTCATATTTTTTTACGATTTCATAATGCAACATTGCTTTCTGTTGTCTTGAATTTCAGATTGTGTTAACGTTGGGTCGAAGTATCCTATTTCATCTCTCGTTAAATCATGACCCAATGAACGAACAAAATCGTACTGAATCACTTTCTATAAATTATATCTCTTGCGCGGATCCAGAATTTTTTTTTCGGGTTGGGTCCACCCTAAACAACTAAAAATCATTTTTTTTTTTTTTTTTACTCAATCGGTCGAAATGGGCAACCTGAAACAAATTTTTAAAGATGACCTATTTTCCTCCCCATAATCCTAAGTTATTTTCATCCTAGGGATCATGAACAAACCTTTTTCTTTTTGCTTTAAAGGAAATCTTGGCTTTTCTAGAGAATTAAATTCTAAATATGCATAAAAGATGTATATAATCAACATTATGGGCTCCCCTAACCCAGTGTGTCATGGCTTTAACAATTTGAATACTAGTATGCTTCTATGCATATCAATAAGAAAATGGCAAAGATGTTTTTAAGAACCTATTCGAAAATTAAAAAAAAAGAACTTAATTTTGACGTCAACTCACGTGATACAAAAAATGGAGGATGGAAAGATACGGGCCTGAAAATAAACATTCCTTTTTTACAATTCTAAGATAGTCCCCCTCATAACAATTGATTAAACTTTGGAAATGTAATCGAGAATGAATCCAAAGTTTAAAAAAAAAATTACAGAGTTTGAGAAAAAGCTGAGAGATGTGGTACAAAGCATGATCCCTAAATATATGGAAATCATCTAAGAATTGAAAAACGATATCGATGACTTATAAATAATAGATCACCCATTTACAAGATATCACCGCCTCTTCAGAGAGTAATGGCCTTAGAATTTGACCTTGTAATTCACTGGTTATATCAGTTGTGATACTAATATATCATGCATATTAATCTTTCTGCAAACTTCCTCTTTTCTGCAGTACCAAGTTCATGCATATTCCCGAATTCTGTATGCATTCTCTCCCACACAAAATAACAATCAACTAACAGATATGACTGAGCCGTGAAGAATGAATCAATATTGGATCAGGAAAATTTGGGTGAATGTCAAAGCAACCTAGTTTGGAAGCGTACATGTAATTATTGCAGTGATTCTTCACACAGTTACTATATTTAGACAATTTATGTACGTCGATTAGGTTATATATATATTTCTTAAAATCCAATACGAATATCCTAAGAAATCCTTTTAGAGACAAGAAGTCTATTGACCACATCTCTAGCCAGAGACATGTACCTGATCACATTTACGCCGAATGTCGGGCGACTAAATTTTTCTGGTATTTTGTCGGCTGAAAACGTGATAGACCGACACTGGTAGCAAGTGACTCGTCGTCCTAGGAACACCGACGATTTTAAAAGTTTAAGCATTTATAAGTCGACACATAGTCGCCAGATCATCGAGCACTGAGCCGAGCTGTGATGTTTTTACTTGACCGACAAAAACTGAATACCTTTAGAAATGTTGACCAAACGAAGAGCGTCTGCGATGATAGCAGATTGGTTAACGGAATATTCTAGAAAAGAATCGGCCATCGACGCTGAAAAAAGAGCTATAACTGGGTCCGACAAACACACCCTCTCACACACAAAACCGAAGGCCGAGGAAAAAAAGAGGTATAACCTGACAAAACGATAGTCAAGGAATTTCTGACTGATCCTTCGACGTATTAGACTCCAGCCTTGGCACCCCCTTGTTCATCTCTTCAAGATTTCATTAAAATAATATTTCGGATTTCCAAGTTTTCTGCATGAGCATTACCGAAGAGATATAATTTGTCGAACTGCCCATTTTGTGCATCCAGTTTGGTACGTTTATGATTTTTGACCCCTGGGTCGAGGCCAATGCTTGTGGACTGTTAGTCCTAGATGGTCTCTATAGCCCAGTAGCTAAGTACTTCGATACTAACTTGAAAATAGCGTTTTATATTAAATTTGATTTAATTAGAGTGTAGAATTTTATTTCACAATTAATGATTATTTCCCCAATACGTAGCTCTGATCCTTCGATGTATTTAGCTCCAGTCTTTCACATCCCCTTGTACTTTTTTGCTCTTTTAAGATTTTTTCTTAATTCAAGCATTTCAGATTTTCAACATTTCGGCATGAGCATCGCTGAAGACATAATTCGCATCTGGTCCATCAGAATGTGTAGCTTAACAATTAATATATAGTATAAGCGAAATCCCCCACACATTTCTGTGAACGTTACAATATTCTTATAAAGATGCTAAAATTCTTTACAGAAACTCAGTTAATGCAGGTATCTGATATGAACGTCGCGGCAACGTTTAAAAGTATCCTCTCTCTCTCTCTCTCTCTCTCTCTCTCTCTCTCTGCTACGTTAACAGTAGAAATAAGTAAATTTATTTACTTAGTTTTGAAAAGCAAACACTTTCACCATTTTAGTACTTTACTGAACTGAATTGAAATATTCAAAACACCCTACCTTCCCCAGGTAGAATTCTGCTAACAAATTAATTAAACCCTAGAAAACTTGACAGCTGAGAATTACATGAAAGAAAAAGTGAAATGATCAAGCGAACTGACATTTTTTTTTTTACCTCAGAAACCGTGTCGGCAGCGAATTACGAGAAAAAAAGGCCAAACGCAGTCGTATCTTTTCTCCTCTAAATTGCATAATTGATCCACAAATTTAGAATCTTATATACTATTTTCAACGTAGATAGTATTTTCATCGCTATACTAGCATTTGATCGAATTTCGAACAATTTTTAAAAAATAATTCAGGTTTTCACGGCTTAATCTTTTACCAAAGAATTCCATATTCACCCAGAGGAACATAAATCAAATACAAAACACAGTAGTTATATTTTACAACATGTATAAGAGGTATGGAAAAAGAAAATTTAAACATTCGAAGTATACTTACAAATCAGAGATGTACAAATAGCCTTATGGACACAAAGAGCAATTTACGTTATTTTTAAACATTTGTCGTAAAACCAAAAGTCGCTGTGGTTT